CTTTTTGATGCTAAAGACTTCTCCAGCTGGTTCTCCTTCTGGGTACACATTGTTATTGTCATTATTATTAAGAAAATTACAACCAAATCCCATAAAAAAATTAATTATTATAAAATTTATTAACAATTAAATTAAACTGCATTAATAAATAATACAGTTTAATTTAATTGTTAATAAATTTTATAATAATTAATTTTTTTATATGAGATTTAAATATGATTCTCTCTCATTATTATTATTATTGCCTCCGAGCGCCAGGTTTTTGGTCACAAATTGTACCTTGTAATCTCCAATGGCCCCTTTGATAGGGAGGAATTAGAGGTAGAGAAATAAAAGTGAAAATAAAATTGCAAATTTTACATGTTTGGCATAATTGAACTGGCTTTTTTGTGGAAGTCACTGCCATCAAAATCGATGAAACTGACTTTCACACCCAACCCTATGAAACCCAGTTCCACTTTTATCAAAGCTCCAAGTCTAACAATTTTACCCCTCGCCATTTTCAACATTGAGGAACGATGAAGAATACTGTGAACCAGAGGGTAGTGACTCTGGCAAACGGTGATGACTCATACTCTAGCTTTAATACTTTGACTGACAATGAATGACACCATTGCATCTGAAGCTGAAACTTGGTTTCTATGACCCATGACAATGTCTTCGATTTTGTAACCTGTTATTTAAAAGGAGGTGAATATGATTATGTAACTGGTATTCAATTTCTATAACCCGTTATTCAAAAGGGGGTGAATATGATTCTGTAACTGATACGCTGGACTTGATTCATTGTAATTGGTAAGCGATGAAAGCATATTCTCTTCAACTTGGATGATTACAGCCGTATCTCGATCAGCTACAGCTGTGGACAAAATATCCATTTTAGATATTCATTTTTCGACAAGTTTTCAATATGAATATGGAGATTCACTTTTTTTTTTTTGGGTTTTCAATAAAAAGCCATTTTGATTTTTTTTTAAAATGAATTTGTTCCTGGCAACAAAAAAAAAAAGATATGAGTTTGTTGGTCTGATTTTCTATTTTTTCTTTGATTTAGAGATTGGATTGAATTGTGGAGGCTGTAGCTAATGCGATGGTGGGGTACGGATTTTTCTACTCAAGGGTGTTTAAGTCTTTTCACATTATGAATTGACATGTTAATTAAAATTTATATCTCATTCCATCAATATATCAAGTATATTTTTAAATTTATTTTCAATTTTAACTCCACTTCTACTTTCTTTCAAAACTCTTCTATTGTGCCAAATGAGGCTTAGAGCATAATATTTTCTGTACAGAGAATTTGCAATGTTAGGTGGAATGAAACTTGAATCACCGAACACATGTTGAGGTCATAAATAGTTGATCTTGAGTGGAGTTTGGTACAAATGGCGCTGAGTTGCTAGTGTTGGTGTTTTTCTTTTATATATATATATATATGTATATAAATAATTGTAGCTTCACCCACTGGAGTGATGGAAGTATTGTGCATTTCTAGTGGTCTCGTGGTGCTAGCTAGCACTACTGATGTATCATAGATGACAAACTGCATACTTCCTCCGGTAAAAAAATATATATATATATTTTTAATCGAATCTCATTTTTAATAAAGTAATTACTTACTTTTAAATTAATCATATCTTTTTATATTTATTTTTATTAAACACCCTATAATAATTATGGAGTCATTATCAATAAGGGTATTTAAAAAAATAATAATTACATCTTAAAAGACTAAAAATTCTTTATATTTTTTAATATTCAATTCTTTAAAAATATATTACGTTTTTGAACGGAGGGAGTATTATATATTGTGCTTTTTCCTTGTTTTTAGTTTTTATGCTGTTTTTCTATTTTTCAGTTATTTATTCTAGTTTTAGTACAAACAGGTGGTAGTTCATTGGTTATTGTTAGTCACGTTAATTTGATTTTAAACAGCCATCGCAGTTATAATTATGATTTTTTACTTTCTTACAGTAGTTATGATTCTCAGTGTATTAGTTCTAAAATAGAAGCTTGTATTGGACCTGGGCCCCAGTTTTCCTTAAGATTCCCTCAGTTAAGTGAGCTCAAAACTGTAAGTTGATTTTGGGCCTACATTGGGCCCAAGAAATTCCGTCAATTGAGCTAAAATATAAAGTAGCCTCCCTCCATTTTTTTTTTCTTAAGACTAAAATATCTAAAACTTTTTTAAATTTAAAACAGTTGTATATAATCTTTAATTTTATTTTAAAAACTATCTATTATTAGTTATATTATTTTTTATAAAGGTTAAAATATTATTTAATTAAAAAATATTATTAAATAAAATATTATATTGTATAATTATGGCTAATCAATTTCTTATATTTTTTAAATAGTTGAGGTCTTGATAGCCAAAAAAATGTCATTATTATTATATAAAATTTTAAATATCTATATTTATATTAGTTTTGTCTATTTTTTTTATTATCAATGATGCATAATTTTCTTGTATTAAAAGATAAATTAATCTAACTTGATAATATTTAAAATTTTAAATATTTTAGCCATATACATTATATTAATCTAACTGAAAATATAAATAAAAATTTATCCTTTAAAACAATAAAAATATGCATCATTGATACAAAAAGGATAAAACTAATATAGCATAAACATTTAAAATTTTATATAGTGATAATAATATTTTTTTAGCTATCAATACCTCAACTATTTAAAAAATATAAAAAATTAATTATAAATAGTTATAAAATATAATATTTTTATTTACTAACATTTTTTAGTTAAATGACACTTTTGACTCGTATGAAAAAAATAATATAATTAATAGTAGGAGCTTTAAAAAATAAAATTAAAGGTTAAGAGAATTAATTTTAAATTTTTAAATGTGAGAGGGATCATATATAACTATCTCAAAATTTAAAATTTTTATGTATTTTAGCATTTTTTTAATGCTACTCCTTTTATTAAAAAATATAAGGCTTTTTTGATGGGTTGTATTTTAAAAATGTAAGGCATTTTTTGTGTTTTAAGGTGTAATTAATATATTTTTTTTCCTAAAAATACCCATGATAAATAAATAAATTTATACTTATTTTTAAGTGAAACTTCCTATTAAATATGGGTAATTTATGAAAAAATTGTATTGGTTTGAAGATATTTAACTATTTTATTAAAAATGAGATTTGATTAAAAATATATTATATTTTTTTAACGGGAGTGTAAAACTCGATTAAAAATACCTTACATTTTTTTAACAGGAAGAGTATGTGGTTTTTGAAAAATTGATGTTCATTTTTTTTTACTAGTTTGAAAATGATATTCAACTTTGAGTACGTGATTGGTTTTTCGTTAATCAAAAGTTAATTTGGTATAGTGAAATGTATTTTTAAATGTACAATAACAAATATTAATTTTTATTATTTGTAATTTTTGTTATACAAATGCTTTATATTAGATTAAATGTTTTATAAAAAATTAAGATTATAAATTGTATTCAATGAACTTTTTTTATATGTGTAATTTTGCAAAAAAGAATGTTTTGTAAATTTGGATGGAGAGAGTGCTAATTAACATATTCCCTTAGATGTTAGGGATAAATTATAAATGATTAATATACGCATATAACATAGTAATTATTAATAACTTATTCAATTAATTTTAATGAAAATTTATCACCTAACCAGAAGAAATCAATGTAAAAAGAAATAAATGATGAAAATACAAAAAAAAAAATCACTGAACTAGGAAAGTTACTTTGCATAACTTCAGTTAGTTGCATTGGCAAATCCACATTTCCATTGCTTTGGAATGTGCTTTTGAAAATTTATTTTACATAGTCTTAAAATATCCAAACAACATCTGGTTTTTTGAATGTGAGAATGTGCTTTCCAAACCTTAAACACTGTAAATCCAAACGGGCTCTGAATTTCTCGATTAATTTGTAACTGGGAGAGGTACTTATATTTAATATTTAATCATGTCTTTAATAAAATTAAATCCAATTTATTGGAGAATACATATGAATAATTAAAAAAATTGTTTTGAGTCCAATTAGATAATAGACAGTATGGATGTAAAGCGCTCCAATTTAGTGCTGGCTCGTAATTAGGATGAAGTTGTTTTTTGGCATGAAGATCAGACTTGATTGAACATTAAGCCAATTGTAAACGGCTAGCTATTTAGTAGCAGCACTATTTCCTTCAATTGATAGAGGTTCTAAGTTTGAACTTAAAGCTACTGTATTCGTGCGCAGGTGTGTCTCCTTTTCTTGGAGGTAGGAGCCAAGCTAGGGATATTCTTTGAAAGGACAAACAAAAAAAAAAAAAAACAAAAGCAAGCTAACTTTGTCTACACGTGCAATTACGTGAAACCGAAATATGGTAAAATTGAAAGATTATGTTTCTTTTTTCTCACATTGAAATCCAATTGAATTGAAATATGCACAAAAAGTAAGACAGTATGATGAAAAATTACATAAAACCTAATAATATATGCGGAGACGTACAGTGAAAAAACGTTGCACGTAGTGTGAGAAAATTTTTTTATATTAAAGAAAAATAAAACAGGTCCCTGTAAATTTCATAGTTTAGATTTTAATATAGATATAGATTATTATATTATTACAGCGGTATACTGATGTGATAACGCTAATCTTAGTTAGTATTATTATTAATGTTAATAATATTAACATTTATTGAATATTAAATGCCTAAATACCTTTTGTCCATATCAACAGCAACAAACAATAATTCCTTCATTCCTATTTTTAAGTTACATCCTGGGCCTTTTTTTTTTATACTCCTATTTATGAGTTATTTTGCACAATTAATAAAACAAGTAATGATACTCCTGGTATGAGTTATTTTCTTTTAATTTTAATTAAACGTATTTTTAAAATGATTAGGTAAAGGTAATTAGGTAATGGGTAATTTTTATCTATTTATTTAGTGAATTCATTGAAATATCCATTAAATCAAGTCAAATCTAAACAAGTGATGTGATTTCTTGTGGGTGAGAAAACCCTAGAATATCTTTACTGTAGAAGGGGATGAGTCTGCTTGAGCTGAACGAATAACGGGATCCTATAGTCGAGCTCGAACTGGGTGGGAAAAGGGGGCAGCGTAGCGCAGTACCTTCAGGAACAAAACCCCAGACACTGTCTTCCCTGTGTTGCTCGCTTTCTAGGTCTCTAGTTGCGTGCTCACTTCAACTCTTGCCTCTCTGCAGTATTTGTGTCCTCTCACCATGGGTATGTGATTTATCTACCTTGCCGTGTTGTTGCTTTTCTGTTTTTTCTTATTCAATCCATTCATTTCCTGAAATTAATCTGTTTTAGATCTGCATGGTTATGGTTTCTCGAAATTGTATTTGATCTGTGCGTTAGCCTTAATTCGAATGATTATGCTTCGGATATATATATATATATATATATATATTTTGCTTTTTGAGAACCATTGATTATTTTCCCCGTTGTTGTCGTGTTCGTTTCCATTTCTGGGCCTTGATTTATTGCCGGTTTATTAATAGGGTGATCGACTTATAATTGAACCGCGTCTTTTCTTGTTTTGGCGTGACTTTTGTTCGTTTTATACTGATCTTGCTAGTATGAGTTTGTGAGTAGTCGGATACTGATTTTTGGGCTTATGAGGAACTCGGGGAGTTGATGTAGATGTTCATGTCAATTTTGTTTTTAATGGTAGATATTGAGGAGGACATCCGTTCTCTACAGCTTGATTCATCAGGTAATCGGAAGGCATTTTGAATTCTCATTTTCTTTGTTCTTACTATGTTCTGGTGGTTTTCTTTTCTACTTTTGAATATTTTGAGTCCAATTTGTGATTGAGATTTAACAGAAGACAATAACGGTGTTGTTAATCCGGAGGATGCAAAACCAGAAGAAGTTGATAATTCCGCTAAGATGGATGAAGGTTGGTAGTAAGATGTCGCTCGTTCTGTTGTTTTTCATTCCTTACCTACCCTTTTGTTGCTGATCGATTCAGAATAAAATTTCATCTGTCTCGAAAAATAGCATGATTTATGTGTTGCTGAGCCGTTCAGATAAAATTTTCATCTGGCTCAAAAATAACATGATTTATACTTAGAAGACTTATTTCCGCATTTCTTTTTCTTCCATCCTTTTCTTTCCCTTTCACAAGCTTTGCTCTGAAGCTCCATTCCTTGAGATCAACCTGCTTCTGCTTTTACATGCACGGATACTTTATACAGTATTTTACTCGAGCACTTTTCCTTCCCTTGATTAACCCTATCAGTCATGAAACCTCACGTGTCTAAAAAGAATGTCAACCTTTTTTGAATTAGAAACGCATCTATATTCATCACTGTTCCTTGTGGTTGTGTTTAAAGGGTTTTCTGGTCAGTTATTTTTCTCTTGACCTGAGCTTTCTGGTCATTTGTAGACTCTAGAGATTAGTTGATATCACAGAACAAGGAAAGTTGCCTATTTTTTGGGGGTTGTCTGAAAAAAAAAAAGAAGAAAATTATAGGTTTGAATAAACATGTATGCCCTTTTTCTGTAGTTTTCTTCAGGGCAAATGTTTATTTCATCTAACCAGGTTTCGAGTGAATAATTAAGTTACCTTCTGGCAAGCAAAGGTTTTCTGTATAGGTTACATCCAACTTATGTTAAGTAATAACTGCTGACATAACACCATAGGGATTGCTCGCCGTATTGGATTTTGTTGAAAAGTTTATGGTTATAATGCTTGTAAGCTTATCATCTACTTCCATCTTGACAATTCTAAATTTGTTGGGGTTAACTTTACTACTTTTGGTAATAAATTATTTCTCGCTTCCAAAGTCTAAAGACATAGAAATTGTAACATCTCTCCCTTCTTTGTCACTTGTTTTGCCCAATACTTGCTGCCTCTTTCTTTACCTTAGGCCTTGTTTGGTATGAAGTATTGGAGAGATGGGATTGGAATTGGCACTGGCTAGTACCAGCTTTTTGTGTTTGGTATGGAGCATAGCCCAATCCCATCTACATGGGATTACCCAATCCCACTACTCCTTGGGTCTTGGGAAATCAATCATGGATTGATTTTTTTCAGACCAAATTACCCTCATTCTCACACCCTCTCTCCTGTCTCTCTACCCTTGCCTCCAACCCCATCCCTTACCGTTCACTCACTCAACCGAGTCTGCCATAGTTGCCCCTGGCATTGGCGCCGTCCTCCACCATTGACAGGTTCGTCTTCTTCCCTTCTTCCTTTGTCTGCCTTTGGCCGTTCTCCTTTCATCTTCCTCCCTTCTCCTTCTGTATACCTCCCGCCATCCTCCACCACTAGTTCGAGTCTTCTCCCTTTGTGTTCCTCCCTTCTCCCTCCGTCTACCTCCCGTAGTCCTCCAGCACTACATCTCCTCGCATCTACTCGCCTTCTTACCTTTGAATCTGCATTGAACAAGGTTGTTGCATTTGCCTTCAAATCTTCGAGAACCATTGCTGTATTGCTTCCAATTCCATGTCATTGAATAGGGTGATAGGCGGCAGGGGGAGCTTGGTTCTAATTCATGAGTGACAAAGAGATGGGTTTTGGCAGTTCTTTTAAATTATAAGGGTTATTATAGTCTTTTTATAATTTATGTTACTTATAAAATAAAATGAAAGAAAGTATTCTCTACAATTATTACTTCATATCAAACATAATTTGAAAGCTCCAATCCCAATCCCAATCCCAGTTCCAATACTAGTGTCAATTCCAATCCTTTTAAATTTAGGCCTGCATACCAAACAGGGCCAACTGTTTCTTTGCATGGTTTTTTGACTAAGGATGAAGAGCATACTAATTTTTTTTGTCTCACCTCGTTGGTTTCAGGTCTAAATCAGGAAGTAAAGGCACAGCCTGTCCAGGCTGATCCTAAAGGTAATCGGGATGTTTCACTTTTAGTTTGTGATTTTATCACATACTTGCATTTTCTATTATTGTTTCAAATTAGACAGGTTACTTTCAATAAAGTTAGGAATTTCCATTTTCTGATGCTGGTGACTTTGATTTAATGTTTTGAAAGATAAGGAAGTTCCTTCAGTGGAGGATCAAGAGGATGAGAAGACAGACAAGAAAAGACACTTGAATGTTGTGTTCATTGGTCATGTTGGTAAGTTGTTTGCTAGTTTCTTTAATCATTATATGGTTTAAATGAACTGGTGGTCTTGTGGTTGGCTAAATGATCTGCCATACTTGCCTGTCATGTCCATTGTCTTAGTTAAAGGCCTGAGTCTTGCACGTCCCTTTCTCTCTTTCTGTAATTTAGCCCTTTTGCTTTATGGTTCTCTGTGCCCCCTTTGTATTTTTGACATATGCTTTGTAGTGGTCAGATATTTTTTTGGTTGTGTGTGTGTTGTTAGTGTGAACGCATGACAAATCTTGGTCTGGCTGCAATGTTTTGAAAGTCAAAGTTGATCAAGGGAACAGGAAATCTTTGGTTTATTGAGAATATGACTTAAGAAAGGTTGGAACATTTGCCTTAACTTTGTAAATACTTGAGGAAGAGTAAGAATAGGTATAGGGATTCATTTATAGGATATGCTTGAAGTTTATAAAGTGAAATATTGGTGGTTTTAATTTATGTTTACTGGAATCTGTATCTTGAAGCAAAATTATGGAGCTTAAAACCAAAGTCAGGTTTTCTGTGGTCAAAAACATTGTAAATTTGGTTTTTACATGCTTGTGAGTTGAATTTTTTAAGCTCGTAAGGTGAATAGAAAATTAGGGTGATTTTATAACATTGTGGACAGTAGCAGAAAAATATAATGGGAGTTGGGATAACATAGTCAGGTATCCCTTTAAACCAGTTCTCTTTAGTTGCATATCAAATTATCAAATGTACTAAATCTGACAAAATGGGCATATTGTATATGCTATCCTTTGGATACCTTTTGGTGCTAAACCTGGTGAATATAGAATACAACTTTACTGAGTTGCACTGATAGATAGCAAAAAAGTCCAAGAGCATTTGTCACCAAATCTTTGATTGGCAATTTTCTGCACTGCTGGCTTTTTCACCACCACAATCACATCCTTTGCCAAAGAGAACTTGCACTTGGGGGATTGATTCTTGCCTCCTTGTCGTTGGTGATTGAGCTAAGAAATAAAATTTTGGCTAGTTGTGGAATTTTTTCTTCTGTTTATCCGTTTTTTGTAGTTATTCATATTCAGTATCTTTAATCCTTAGTTTTTTATGGTAAAATCAGTAATATCTATTTGAACTTCTTGTTCCAGATGCTGGTAAGTCTACAACTGGTGGCCAGATACTCTTCCTAAGTGGTCAGGTTGATGAACGCACCATCCAAAAATATGAAAAAGAAGCAAAGGACAAAAGTAGAGAAAGCTGGTGAGCTCATTTACTGTGCAATTGTTGATTGAAAAATTCATGTTTGATTGCGGTTGGCTTTTAAACTGATTAATTTTCTGTTGTGAAAGTTTAAGTTTGCACCTTCACTCAATTTGGATTGAGAAAGAATTGAGCTCCTTGGTCTTTTCAAGTGAAGATATTTTTAAGAAGCGATGAATTTTTTTTTTTCAATTTCATTTTGCATGGTTTAATTGTTGTGTCTGGACATGCAATTGAAGCAGTGACCACGGTGCTATTGTTACAGATTGGACTATAATATGCAAGTTGATCAAAGAATAAAAGAAGATGAATACATAATGAAATTAAATTTTGAATAATTAAATATTAAACGATTTTTTTGGCCAAAAATATAAAATTAAATGAGTGATACGTAAAAATGTAAATTTGGTTTTGTCTTGATGAGATTCTTCATGTCTGCCAAGGTCTTATAGCTTCTGGTTTTACTTATCCTGTTTGTTAGTTTTACGGCATTTTGTGCATTGAATTTTTTGGTTATTCTATTGCTTGTTAGGAGGAAAAGGTGTTCTTCTACTTGCCAATTATACAGGATATTGATTTATCTATCTGTCAACCACCCATCTTTCTATCATTATTTACATATATGATGAATTGCTGGTTTTATTTACTAGGTATATGGCTTACATAATGGACACTAATGAAGAGGAGAGGGTTAAGGTACGAGCTATGAATTAATTGGCTATTAGAAGTTGAATGCTTTATGCCTTTATCCAATGCGTTCAGTTCTTGTTTTCTGTTTTTATTTTTAATAAGTTGTCCCAATTGCAGGGCAAAACGGTTGAAGTTGGGAGAGCGCATTTTGAGACAGAAAAATCAAGGTTTACAATTTTGGATGCACCTGTGAGTATTGTATTTCATGATTCTTATTCAAATTTGTTTTACATGCTTTAAAATTACAGATTCTCTAAAACAATTTTCTGGTATGGAAGCTAGTTTGTTGTGACGCACATACACATGGTTATGTGTCTTTATGCTTTTGTTTGGTTACCCTTTCATTTCAATTGCTTGTTATCTTCTGCTGCTTTATGTGTACTTTTCCTTTCTTAAAATATGAAATTACTTCTCGTTTTGAATTAAATGGAAAGTTAACTCTCTTTGTATGCTATTTTGTACATTTTGAGTGGGGCTTCGTGAGATGAGGGTTGGCAAGCATCTAGTCCACTCTAAACTAGAGAATCATGAGAATTAGAAGATATGCTCAAAAAAGGATTATTGGATATAATCACAAGGGAAATGGAATTTAAAAATAATTCGCTATTTAGATATTCTATCACCTGGGCATTCCTGCCTAACCCACTTAAGAAGCACTGTTGTTTCCAGTGCTGTGAATGTTGTGCAGTAGCAAGCCACAGAAACATCCTGTTGGATGCTGTGGCCAATGCAATGATGGGGCAAGGAACGGGACAATGTTGAAATAATTTATACTAATTCAATACAACTTAAAATCTGAATGAGTTTTAACACTTTGAATAATGAATGATGACAAATAATGAGAAGCCTTATCCTTCTAGATGGGTTGGCTATATGAATTGTACGATATCATTGTGCTCTAATGAATGATGACAAAACTAAAATATAATTATGCTAACACAACACCAGAAGGAAAGAAGAAACGAACGGCATATCATCGATTTTAGAGAATTGTGGGAGTGGTCCAAAGTCTTGGGCTTGATGTTGGCTGAGAATTTGACAAGTGCCTCAAAGCTGATTTGGAGATCTCATCTTATTCCAAAGAAAAGTCAATGAAGTGGGCCTTTCTGCCTAGAAGATGCAGCGCTGTAGTTGTGCATGATTAAGATTTTACATTCTTGATTGTTCTATTGATACTCGGATGATAAAACCAAATAGCCCTTGTACCCCTTTATACCAGAACCACTGACTGGCATGAGAAAATAGAGGTGAAATTTGTAAACATCACTTTGGTCACAGCCATGCATCCTTTATCAAAAGCAGCACTTCAATAGAGGACATCATAGTTCTCCTACATTGAGGCTACTATACCATGGACGGTGAGGCTTGATGTGTCCTGGGTTTTGTACTTTTGTGTGTTGATTAGGGTACAGGGTTTCTGTGCGTTGTTGATAAGTGGTAAAAATTCTACATTTTAAATTTGAGTTATATATATGAGGAATTATTTTTGGGCGATCTATCAGAGAGAAAATGGTAGAAAATTGTTTAATATGGCTTTTATATATGCAAAGAAAGTCATTAGAGGCAATTGTGAAGAGGGTTGAGTGGATGATCTTTTGCCCTATGAAAAGAGGTAGAAAAAGATGTTGAAGGATACTCTTGGAAGTTATTGAAAGGGATTTATTGGTCAATGATATATCTGATGAGTTGGTTATTGACATATTACAATGATGTGTGATCCATATAACTAACCTTACGTAATGGAATAAGGCTGCTTGTTAGTTGTTTATGTTGTTGATGACAATGACGCTGTATTGGAAATTTAAATGCTTTTAAATGGATGAACGTCCTGGTTGTGGAACCCCTTTTGTCTCACCTCAATAATTATTGTGTAGGGTCACAAAAGCTATGTCCCCAACATGATTAGTGGTGCGGCTCAAGCTGATATTGGAGTTTTGGTAAGTGGATTATGATATGTCAAACCCTCTTGATCTTCCGTAGTGTTTGATTAGGAAAATGATGATCTCTCCCTATTCTATCAGGTAATTTCTGCTCGAAAGGGAGAATTTGAAACTGGATATGAGAGAGGTGGACAAACCCGTGAACATGTCCAGCTTGCAAAAACATTGGGGGTGTCTAAGCTGGTTGTTGTGGTTAATAAGATGGATGAACCTACTGTGAAGTGGTCCAAAGAGAGGTGCTCTCTTATGATCCCCCACTCTTACTTCCTTATTTGCTCTTCTTTCTTCACTTATGATTTTGAAGAGCTTTGTTGCTTCTGTTTCTAGGTATGATGAAATTGAGTCAAAGATGATTCCTTTTCTTAGGTCATCAGGCTACAATGTGAAGAAAGGTATTGGTGTTTTGTTTTATTTTTTGTCAGTTTCTTTTTGACAATATTATGGTTATGTCTTTTACCTTCATTCCTGTTATCACAATTCCACTTCACCATTTTTCTGTTTTTGCTTGCTCTAACTGCTTGATTTAGAGAGATGGTAGATCCTGTATCTTTTACACTGGCAACTGCCTCTATATAAGCTCATGATAGAGTGGTATTCACTTGGGATGGTTCTGGATTTATTTCATAATGATGATGATGGAGCCCTCTATTCTAATAAGCTTTAAACAAGCATAAACCAGAAACTACACCACAAATGGGGACTGAAAATTACTATTACCAAATAGCAAAGTTGGATTACAGCGAAATAAGGAACTGAAAATTACAACGTACTGAAACAGAAACAGCACAAAATACACTCCACCAAACAACAATCACAAAATATAAGTCACTCACTTACAAACATACACTAAGCAGAAGATAAAATGATGAAGAAAGATGACTTCCTCCACCCCCAACCTGGCATTCGAGAGGCCAGAGCTTTCCTTACCACTCTCAATATTCAAAATACTCCACACTTTTCTTCTACACGAACATATAGATTTAAAAAGCCAAAAAGTAGATTGCCCCTGCCAAAACACTAGCTTTACTCCCCTACTCTGATGTGTCAGCTGGTCTTTACTCATAGGATTTTCTCCTAAACCCATAGTTCCATATTTTCTGCCCTTTGCCTTTCTTTTTATATCTCCTTTTTGTGAGTTTTCATAGTGACAGGAGATGGGGTCTTATCAGATGACTATTACTGAATCTTAGTATATTTCCCTAGTGAAGGAAATAGATCAAAGGTTTAACTTATGGATTTGCTTCTGGATTCTTTGGTATAAAGTTTATTAGATTCTCTATCATAATGTTGAACTTGAACTTTATTGAGCAGCTGCTTGTCTGGTAATAGGAACTAGGGCTGAGGCCCATCAGGCTGTTCTCCAGAGGTTTTTTTCCTTAAATTATATTTTTACTGCTTTGCAGCTATCTCAATGGTGAGCTACTTGAAAGGCTTGTGAAAATGGCTGAGAAACCCTTGTTAAAGAAATTATTTTAATAAAATATTTAATGTCATTTTTAGATCTTTGGCATCTAAATGGTTAGGGATGCGATACTAATTTTCAAGTTTTAATTTACTAGATGTCCTGTTTTTACCATTATCTGGCCTGACTGGTGCAAACATGAAAACAAGATTGGATAAAAGCACTTGTCCTTGGTGGGATGGCCCCTGCCTATTTGAAGTCCTTGATAGTGTTGACACTCCACCTCGAGATCCCAAAGGCCCTTTAAGGTAATGTATCTTTTACCTTATTTGCATGAATTGTTATTGTGTAATCTAGTAAGTGGGAAAATTGTCATTTGTCTTTCAAGTAGTTTTTCGGCCATTTTATCATACAAGCATACATCTGTGTGGGAGCCTGCCATTGTTGCTTGCTTCTTTTGGTAAAAGAAACATTGTGAGAGGATAGAGTGCAAAGGAAAAGAGGGGGAAAATTTAGAGGTGGTAATTTGGGTCAAGCCCTACGGCCTTGCTCGAATGAGCATGAAAAATCTTAGGGCCAAGCTTGGGAGTTTAAAAGATTTTCTTTGCCCTGGGCTTTTTCAGGCTGTCCTAATAAACCTGAATACTTGAATTCCTTTTTATTATTAATTATATGATATAAAAATTCAAAATATTTTTTTAAAATAAAAATTGAAATAAGATGAAAATAAAAATTTGGGTCAAGCCCTACGGCCCTGCTCGAATGAGCATGAAAAATCTTAGGGCCAAGCTTGGGAGTTTAAAAGATTTTCTTTGCCCTGGGCTTTTTCAGGCTGTCCTAATAAACCTGAATACTTGAATTCCTTTTTATTATTAATTATATGATATAAAAATTCAAAATATTTTTTTAAAATAAAAATTGAAATAAGATGAAAATAAAAAATAAAACAAAATAATATTTAACCATTTGGGCATCTGGACTGCAATAACCCCAAGAGATTAGGGTCGAGTTTGGTTATATGGTAGGATATTTTAAGCTCAATTTGAATCGAATCCAGTCCGAATTGAGCTTAACCCATCCAAATTACTGGCTCTAGGAAAATCAGAAAATGACGAGGTACTGAGATAAATTAAGGATAATCAGACAAGGTTTTACTGCTTTACAAGAAAATTCTCTTTGAAAGCTGTATATGCTAATTGTAGAAGATTCAAATGTTCATATTTATTGCCTCTATGTTCTCGGTGTATCAGCTCTTGCGTTATGTTTCTGTCGATTGCCTAAGGGTTATGCTGAGAATATGTAGTTTTCCCCCCTAAAAAAAGATGACCTATTTCTTTGTTATTGTTGAACTTCTGATTTGAATAGGATGCCTATACTTGACAAATTCAAAGACATGGGTACTGTTGTTATGGGAAAAGTGGAATCTGGTACTGTCCGTGAAGGGGATTCCTTGTTGGTTATGCCCAATAAGGTTGGATCTTTTTCTGCTCTAATATGCCTTGAGTTGTGTGAGCCTTGTCCTCTTTTTTGACTTTATAAACATGGAATACTGCCAAAAAAATTGCAGGACCTTGTGAAAGTTGTTGCTGTGTTCATCGATGACGATAGGGTTAAACGTGCTGGACCTGGTGAGAATATACGGGTTAGAATATCTGGTGCTGAAGAAGAAGACATAGCAAGCGGGTTCATTCTGTCTAGTGTTGGTAAGTATTTTATGCTTTCTTCTTTTGTTCTGTCTAGTGTGGAATAATCTAGAAAATATGATCACCAACAATTTCAATTGTGCTGCAATTAGGCAATGAGTGATCTGTCTTATAATTCATTCTTTTCTCTCTGCATCTGATATGAAGAAATTAACTAGCAGTATGCCCTGAAATAGCTGAAACATGAGATGTTTTCAGGTTGGCTCTAGTAACTTCTACCAGTACTGCTGGTGCACCATTCTCTTGCTTTCACCTAGTGAATAAACAAATGCAATCTTATTACTTGAATTTCAAATCTTCATGAGTGGGATTCTTCTTAATTAAATACGGGTTCCAGTACTTCACTACTGCTTTTTTGAAACATTGTTGTCTATTTGCTGTTCATATTTTCATGTGATTTTTGTTTTTATTTTTCCTCTTGCAGAAAATCCAATACCAGCTGCTACAGAGTTTGTGGCTCAGCTGCAGATCCTTGAATTGCTGGACAATGTAAATAGTCTCTCTCATCTGGGTGTGGTTTTTGGATTTCATTTCAGTATGCTTATGCTAAAAAGTTCTTGTAGTTATATGTCTTATCTAGTTTCTATATAATCTACAGTAAGATTAATCTCTGTTACATCACTTTTTAGGCTATTTTTACTGCTGGGTACAAGGCTGTTTTGCACATCCACTGTGTTGTTGAAGAATGTGAGATTGTTGAGCTCCTACAGCAAATTGATCCAAAGACAAAGAAACCAATGAAAAAGAAACCTCTCTTTGTGAAGAATGGTGCAGTTGTTGTCTGCCGAATTCAGGTGCATGTTATTTCCATGTCAATTTGGAACTGTTTCTGTTTGATAACTTTTTGTGTTGCTGTATGCGGAAATTATTTGACAGTGTGCGAGTACCATATAAAGTTCTTACCTCCTGCTTGTGCATGATGATTCTGGAGTTTCATATAAGTTGCTGATGGTAATTTAGTTTCTGGGTGTTTCCCTAGTTTATTTCCATGATAATTTAGATGTTTTTTCCAGGTTAATAATATGATATGCATTGAGAAATTCGCTGATTTGCCCCAACTTGGGAGGTTTACTCTTCGCACAGAAGGTAAGAAGTGATGGTTTCCTTCACTTGAAAATTTGTTCCTGCTATTCAATATTTGAAGTCTCAAGGCTTATCTCCGCTTACAGGAAAAACTGTTGCAGTGGGAAAAGTCACTGGCTTTTAATTTTGAAACAATTTTGACTTGAGGTAAGAAACTTTTCAACTGCAGTGCTGTATCATATGCCACTAAATTGTTTGTTCCTTACTATGTAATGTCTAGTCCACGGGCAACCTAGCTGTTGATGTTACAGTTTGCGGATCTTTTCTGCAATGTGCTCTCTACCAATTTGCATAACTGAGATGGAATCACCTTATTGAACATTCAATTAAAAATATCGATAAAAAATGAAAATAAAAATATTGCAATTCTACATCTCGTTATTAGGTTAAATGTTTGTTTTGAATTTTGATCCCCCATGGTGTAAGGTATTAGGGCTCGATTTCTGACTCAAGGGTGTAAAACTGGTTTTTTAATCGTCGGTGCTTGTCCAGGTAAAAGTTTTGTTGTGTATATTGAGCACCCAGAAATATTTAGCTGCTGTACTCTATTTTTGAGCTTTTTTTTTTAATAATCTGTTTACCAATTATGGAATATTCCAACAGTGTGGACAGGAAGTAAATGTTGCATTGGTAAACTGAGGAGGTATTGAGGCATAATTGAGAGCGACGATTTGGAGATGTTCTTAATTTTGGGATTTGAAATTTGGTTGTACTTAGTGATAAGTAGTTGGGAGTAATTGACGGTGGCATGGGCACGCATGTATGTTTATGAGGTGATTCCAGGCATGGTTACTCCAGTATTGTGCGGGTGATAGCCTTCTTGAATCACCCATTCATGTTCCAAATCCAAATATAAATCAATTTGAATGGACGGGTTTTATACCCGTTGTAGCGGTATTATTTTAGACATTTCTGTGCTGATTTCTCCTATAGTGATGACGGTATTTAAACAAATATCTGGTTTGATGTTAATTGACTTGTATCAATTATTTTTATTTATGTTTTTTTAGAAGGGAAGTAATAAACCTATATTCAAAGAATCTCGTTAATCCCGACAAAAAGTTCCAATGATTACCTTAAACCCCCGCAGTACAACTCAAAATATACTAAAATCTAAAACCATCCATTTTTTTCTGTTTGAGTGGTTTAAGTCTCGTTTAAAATTGTTAATTATGTACTGTCTTATTTGAGGTTCTGATAGAAGGGTCACATCGCGATACACTGATCTGACACGGATAGCTGCTTGAAATTAGGGCGTGAACAATATCCAACCCTACGCATTGTACACTTCTGGCATGGATGATAATCCTGGATGGTCTCTGTACAGCGAAATTAAATGTTGGTTAAGGGGCTGATGGGTTAAATTTGAAAATTGCCTAAGAGCTGAAAATTTGACGTACTAGAAGTTGGAAATTTTGAAGTTGCTGAAAGTGTAATTATGTTTTCCTTATCTATTTTTTAATTATTGTTTGGCTGCCTATCGGACTGTTGTGCTCCTTCGAACGTGCCTGGGTGTTAGTAGAGCTTTGTTCTTAAATATAGTGTTTATTAGCGATTGTGGTTTTCGAGGTCCTTTTACTATAATATATTTTGGGGTGCGTAAGTTATCGAGAATCAAGAGATTGAAAATGTTCACAGGGGAGTGACTTGTTCATTTCTTGGAAGCAAATAAAACGTAGGTGCTCTTATAGGAGTGAGAATCAAAGTAACAGTTTTAGGATGCCTAGTTTAGGAATAAGGTTCATGCAGGGCGAGTTCAGTATTAACTGAGAGTCTGGGTTGATTTGTTTGAGTAGTCGGGTTTGTTAAAATGTTTAGAGAGCACCTTTAATTGTGCGCTTATATTGGGAAAGCAACGACTTTCTATTTCGAATTTTGCCTGTCCAAAGGAAGTTGTAACTCTTCATGCATGGTGGTTTTTACTCCCCGTAAACGCAACGTTCCATTAATGGGGGACCATCCTCCTGGATTTATTGCTGGTAATTTGTAACGGGTCATGTTGAATAAGCTTGAAAATATTTAGGGTTAGGTTTTGCAAAATAATATATTTTTAATGTTTGCACTTGAATATGCTCAACAAATTTAAATCAAGCTCGATCAGGTTAGGTTTGAGGCTTGGCTAGAATACTCAAATACTACATTGTTTTAATATATATAATATTAAATGTTAATTGATATTTGAAATTTTAGTTCATTTTATATTAACAGATAATATATTTGAACACATTATTATAGATATTTTCTTAAAATTTCTTAAAAAAATAAAAATTAGCAACATTGTTATATTTTTATTATTTTTAATCGATAATATTCTAAAATAATATTGAAAATGTATTTTAATCTTGATTCTTAAACTATAAAAGCCATAATTTTTTTAAATAAAATAATTTGAGTGTTCTACTTTTCTCTAAGAATTGCAAAAAGTATATTTTATAGTTTTTGATAAAAAAATTAATTGTAAAGTAAAAATTGAAATTTAAAATAGAAAGAAAACAAATTGACAATTTAAGTTTTTTGGTCGGTCCCAAATAAGTCCTGAGCCTTAGAATATTGAGATTGGGTTTAATTATATGAGTTTTTTAAATAGAGTTAGGTTTAATTTGGCAGAATAAGTTTGATTTGCTCAAATTATCAACTTTACCTGAATATAATGAGTTGGGTTAAACTAGACAATTCTCTAATTGGGCCTATCACTTCTCTAATTCGCCCATTACCATTTTCAGTCCAAACATTTATGTTTGATTCCTGTGTGAAAACATTAAATAATGAACATGAGAGGAATGCGTACAGGTAAATTAATAAATTTTGTGCAGATTAAATCCTGTCTGATTCATGAAAAGAGAACTCCATTGACTATTTTTGGGGAAATAATTAAGGAAAGAGAATGAATCAATATCCGCACCCCTCTATGAGAAAGATTTGGTGAGTTTAAACGTTAATAATTCTCTTGATCATGGATTTCCCCTCTCAAATCCTCACATGTATTGTTATCTTTTACACTTTTGTTAAACTTTTATTCCTTAATCCTGAACTTGATTCTTTGATTTTAAGAAGAAATCACACTTCTATGGGATGAAATGATTTTAATTTCTTTCCTTTGTTTTATTTTTAAGTATTGAGGGAGATTTTGACAATTGGCTTTTCAAGACCAACTAAAGGTATTTAAAATCAATCTAAACCAATGACACGAAATCAAATCGATCAAAATTGATTATAAATAAGGTTTAGTTTAGTTTTTCTTTTAGTAAAATTAATTGGTTTGGTTTGGTTCAATTTTTATTTTTTGAAACTTGAATCAAAACTTATTATATTTATTTTATATGCCTTTATAAATTTGTCTAACTTTTTTCTCTTTCCTAAGTTCAGTTATCTATAAATTGATGGTTAAAAATATGTTACAATTAATTAAATATTGTCTATAATTTTTATGATATTTTTAAGGATACTTGTCTATAATCAGTTAACTATGGTCTACAATTAGGAAAAATACTATTATACTCCATATATTTGACAATAAAAGGTTATTGTTATTAGTATTTTTCTGCAAATTAGAGTAACTAACTTTGTTTTATATTTTTCTGTAAAAATTACGCTCAACTGTCATCATAAATTCATAATAAGCAAACTTTGATTAAGTGCCAATGACTTAAAATTACATAATTCAAAAAATGCCTACAGTTTTAACAGTTTTTAATAATTAATTATTTGAAGATGCATATACATGATCACTTTGCTGTTAGTACTTTCATGCTATTAAAAATATTTAGAGGAAAATTAAAAAGAATCCTGTCAACTATTAAGTGAAGTATCATTGTCCATCAAGATTTTGAAATATAAGTGATGCCGAATGGGAAAAGGACAAGGGAGAAGATAAGAGAAAAGAGTAGAGAAAGAGATAAAAAGAGAATATAGAGAAAAGAGAAATTCAAAAGAGAGGCAAAGTAATAACAATAATTCTCATTCAATCAAATGCATGTACAAAGCCAATGAGTTAAGGCATTATCTATTGGTTTCAACCCTAGAAGTAAATGTGAGAAAATTTCAAAAATTTTAAAATTAAATGAAAAGATAACAATAAATACTGAAAGATAACGATAATACAAATATTACAATAATTAAAAGAAAATATTCCTAATTAATAAGAAAAATATCTCCAATCTTCAAATGTTTAAAAATTTTCAATTATTTCTTTTTCTTTTCATTCTTTTTTATTCCCATCATTTCTCCCTCGGTTGAAGAACTTCCTTTCGGAGAGTAAACCGTAGGTATGCTTAGGAACTATGATGGAATCAAGAGATTTTAAGTTGTGTCTCTATTTAGAAATCCTTTTTAGCAAATCAAATACTAATAAATAGCATCAAATGAACAATAAACAACCTGAACATGTAAAATCACAATATGCAAGCTTGGAAATCCTTTCTAACAAACAAGATAATAAAGAAGAGGACCATGTGATTTAAGAATGATATATTCTTTAACAACTACAATAACTTCAATGATATAGCAGACGAACAAGGTAGAACATGTAATAACTTTTGTCATTAACCTCACTTAACCACAATAATTGGATTATGTATGATGACAATGGACAATAGGATCAACCAGGCCATTTCAACCTCTAAAGATTATTTAAAAATACCTTTGAATAAAATGGGATTTCAAAAATAATTCAAATTTTAAAACAAGAATTTAAGGCCCTTTAAAACATTTAAAATTAGAGTATCAATATTTTAGAAATAGAGAAAAAAGTTTGAGCATTAAAACAAGTTAAATAGGGGCCAAGAAATCATTTCAGTAAAATGGGTATGGCTAGGCACTCATTTGCTGTGACTTGTGGCACGGAGGCCACTCACTGTGGTTAGGACAAATGAACACGTTCGTCGTGGCCAATTGAACATTTCACCACAAAATACATGAGTTGACAGCACATATTTGATAGCAAAATAATCTAATTTTCTAAAGACCTAGTTTTTAGGTTAGACCTTCAATTAAGGTGATTTAAGTATTTACACATAGACAATTAAATACTCTAACTAATGGCTTTAGTTACACCACAATATGGTACCGAACGAGGATTTTAGACCCTTGAGACTATATGCACCCACATATTATCATATTTTCAAATCAATCAAGTGCTGTCATCCAAATTTTAGTCATTAACCAAGATAACAACCATAAAATCACATTCATAGATAAGCATGTAAGACTCCACATGTATTAAGGATTCAACCATCAATCATAAATCGCACACTTGCCTGATTGGCTTTCATTTCAAAAACATAGGAAAGCCATAACAATGAGTGCCCAAGTCAACATTTAGGCTCATGCAAATGCAATGGACTTTCTAAAAAGAATAACCCCTAATGTTGGAAACAATGTGTATTCAAATACATAGAGAAAATGACTAAAGACTTTAGAGCTTCATGTTACCCGTGCACTTAGCATTACCCAAAAAAAATATATTAAAAAATGGAGTATGATTATACAATCTTAATAATCATGGCATATGAATCCAAATAAATAAAAGTATGGCAAATACTAGCATGTACAGTAAAAATTTACATTTAATATTCTATTAGTATTCAACATATATCATAATACCATTATTCACTAATCACATGGTATCTAATTCAATGAAGATAGCTGTGCATGATCATATGCATTTCATTTTTATTCTTCTCCTTATATCTTTTGACTGAATCTATAGGCTATCAAATTATATAGGACTAACCTGTGTGATTGAATTAGGTCACTCTCCAATTGTTAGGAATTACTTAGCCAAGATACCTGCTCCCCATTCTTGGGCCATGGATTCTCCCTTCTCAAATTACTAGAGTATCATAATTGCCTGAGCCACACCATTCCTCATAAGAAACCGGTGATCTTAGGTAGTGTGCTCACATATGCCT